ATTTGAATAAATAGTTTTGCTTTACCTTTTAATGATCATTTAGCAAAATCTAATTTATGCAAATCGCTCAATTTCAAAGAATTTATAACATCTTCAAATTCATCAATCCATTTATCAACATTTTCATATGCATTACCAGAAAAAAGAATAACAATACTTTCAATATCCGAAAAACTAAGATGAGGTTTAAAATGATCTTGAATTGGAAGCTGCATACTGTTATTTACTTGAGACTCATTAAAACCAGTATTGTCTCTTTGCTTATCATCAGGTACTACTTCAGAAATTTCATTAACAGTTTCATCTTCAATATCACTATTTTCTTCATGCAAAATATTTTCAAATAATACAGATAAATCACATAGGAAAGAGACAATGCGGGTTACTACTTCTCTTTTTGAACCCTCTGAATTTATGCATAGTACATTACAAACTTTAATTAACTCATTCAAAGCAAAACTATTCTGCACTGTATCTATTTTCTTATTAAATTCTTCAGAATCTGGTTTAAATATAAAGCCAGAAAATTCACGTAATCTCTACCGATTATTTCGATCTCCATCAGTATTAAAAATAAGCTTATGCAAACTTTTGATTTCAGAACTTTTACTGTTCTTTAAAGCTGCTTCCAATTCTGGAATTTCTATTAACTTCATATTGGAAAGAAAGTTTTGTACTCACCCGACAGATGATGGTCTTCAATTGGTAATCCAAACGCTTAAACAGTAATCCAATGTCTCGTAAGAACAGTCCACTAAATTCACAGTCAGTCAATACAGTTCAGAATACTATTCGCACACTTTCGACGTTCGTTGAGTTCGCGCTACGGTTGGTCGCCAAATTTTGTAGAATTTACTTTCAAAAGCACATACACACGATAGAGCACGTCTACTGCATTATTAAATGCTTTATTTTACTAATAAGAAATAGATAAAAGTAATAAAAGGTAAGTTAAGTAAAAATTAATATTGCAGATGATGTCATGATAGTTATACTCAGTCCACACAGGATTCATGTAATGATGAACATTTCTCACGCACTCGTAACGTCCACAGGCACGTAGGCTTATGCCTTGAGAGAATACGTTTATTCCACAGCTAGCTTTAGATAATATGATCAGCTTGGCTACAAAGAACTTAAACATCGAAGGAAACCGTCTGTTTCCACCAACTCTTGGAGGATTTACAGGCCGTCTGCTTGCCTCCACTCGTCTCCACGTCTGGAAGCTATCTGGAGTTGTCTCGACTGCTCCGCACTGTACTAAGCTGGGATGACGTCACATCGCTAGGTATTAAGTCAGCATCGGTCGTCGATGATTTCCACATATATATGATTGATATGCATTATATATACATGATTAGATTCACAGATTAAAACTATGATTATATATATATGTGTATATATATGAGTTTATCAATATGTATAATCATATGCATGACTATATACATAATATTTCAGATATTAATAATAATGACATTACTATCAAATTTTGTCATAACATTTCAGTCGGAGCGTTAATTCGCTTATTAGTCTAGTAGTGTCTGAATGATTTTGAATTAATGCCACACCATTAGAAATCTACAGAGTATACTTATATACAAAGGGAAACATTATTATAAATATGCTAACACCGAATTAGGTGTGAAAGATATGTAATTTAGCCAAAATCTACTTTTAATTACATTTATTCTTCTGCAATTTGTATATGTAAAAGTAAAATTCGTTCACAAAAAGCATGCGTTTAACTAATTTACGGGTAGCCCTTGTATTAGAACGGAGGAAACCCACAGTTCTGCGTCTCTCGTTCTACAGGGCCGATTCACGAAATTTAATTTCCATTTTTCACGTCTCGTAAGCGTGGTATTACATTTATATATATAGCATTGTTCTAAGATAGGTATTCTGGCACAAAATCGGACTTATTCTGAAAAGACATCTATTTTTTTCCATTCGATTCGATGACTCTAGTTTTACCCAAGAGCCAAGTTTAGTAAAAATCTCACGAGTAGTTTTTAAAAAATTAGCTCTCAAAAATTTAGTTTCCCAATGTTAATTGAACTTGGTGTTGCGTTCTACGGGTTCGTGGATTTGGAATCGTTGATCGTATCACTTGATAAAGAATCAAAACACAATTTATTCGTCATTATTACACAGTGCAGATCAAAGACACGTTACAGGCGTTGGAAAACTACGACAAACACGCTGAAACAATTAGCAACACAGCCTTCAGGCTCTCAGACTATAACGGTGGAAACAGCTTCACGGCAAAGCACTAAAGTACAGCTCCCGACTCGGTGGATCGCTTTCAGGCTAATCTTTGAACTCAAGACACATTCTACTGCACAAGATACACAGCTGCTCCGCGTGCAAGTAGGTTTTATATAGCTTTTATTTATATATTTTATATAGCCTTCGAGAACATTCTGAGGAAAACCGCTTAGAGTTCCTTCTAGAATGTTCTCGCTCTGTCTATTGCTTATCGCTAATTTTATCTCCAAATGGGCGATTGCGCTCGAAATCTGGCAACCGTAAACCCGCTTTGCGCGGAAGCTCTCTTATCGCAGCTGGCATTTCGTAACATTGGTACATATTTTTTCATATCTCTTTTTTTATTAACCTTACTAGATTCCATATTTCACGATTCGAAATTTAGGTTCGATCCAAAGAAGATTCGGAGCTATTTTCTGATCTTTTTTTAAATCCATATTTTTTAGTAATTTTTATAAATTTTCGAAAACAGTTTTGAATTACAATCTTTTTGCCATCACCTTACAATATATCTATTTCTAGGCATTTTTGAATTACAATATGTAAAATTTTTACCATCACCTTAAAGTAGATGTATTTCTAGGCATTCCTGCAGATAAAGAATTCTTCATTCAAAATTTCCTAAGATATATATGAATTTATATATTGTTGCGTTTCGAAATTTCACATATTTGTTACAAGCGACAATACCGCCAGTGGTTTTCTCGCCTTATTAAAAATATTTCAAAGAATGAACGATGCACTTTTTTTCCGATCGTGCGCAGTGAAAGGGAAAGGAAAATAGGTTACCATAAATTAAGAATTTCCCCAAGGGAATTATTCTTGCGCAAACTGAAAAATGTGCTCTAAGATAAATTTTTAATTAACTGTATGTTATATCAGAAGAAGTCCAACTTTATGTTAAAGAACCTGTGCTAGAACTATGCTGCATATAAATGAAATATATATCCTTTCTCTTTCGAGACATGAAAAAGGCACATTAAATTTCGTCAATTGGCCCAGTTGGACGGGAGATATAGAACTGTCCTATTTTTGTGTTGTGTTGGAATTATATGTTTTCATTTGTTTTATTTCATAATATTCCTTTTTTTCCCCCTCTTGGTATTCTCTGGGTCTCGGCCGATTTTTGGCTATGAAGGGAATTCATATTGACAAGGCTGGCCGGACAACGTTCAGATTCTAACTAACTAACGGGCTCTACTTCGTCTGAGTAGTTCTCAACTAATTCTTCAGATACTCCTGTAACACTATATTCCGCCTCAGAACTCACAGCTAAAACTTTTCAACGGTCACGCATATTTATTTAAAGTTCCGCAGGTTCTACTTATTTTATAATACCTGGCATTAATATATTCTAATGTAAAAGCCTTAAATATTTCATTATCAAACGGTAATTATTTACTATTAAATGCCATTTTTGTCGCGGCTATTTTGGTGCGATCTTGGGCTATTGCGTCAAGACTCTTACGACTCGGGCTATTTGGGCTATTTTAACGGGTTACGCTTACAAACACCACCGCTAATCTATAGCGTGGTGTTTATAGGCGTGACAGAAGAAAGTCTGTTTGTCCTCTAATAACTCAGTCACTACTATAGCTATCCTCGCCAAACTTTCTACGATTCTTTTTTGTGTCCTGGAAAATGTCTACATATACGTTTTCTCCAAAAAAAGTAGCTAAAATCAGAGATATTAATTAAAAACTCGTAAAAACGATCATTTTTGCCCTCATTTTTCCGAGTGGCAACAGTCTCGCAAGCTGGAGATGAAAATTTGCTTTATTTCGTAAGTTGTTGCCACTGCTCGCTTTCAAATCGTAGAATTTGTTATTAAAAAATTTCAAAGTTTTACGATGAAATAAAAAACAACATTTCCAAACACTAAATACGTTACTCCCTCAAAACCGTGAAAAACAACCTTATATTTAGCGTAGGTATAATGAAACACTCAATCGATTTCGAGGGCAGCTAAAGGTCCCTCCTCATCAGGAGAAAGAAATACATAGAAAGAAGAAAATAAAGGAGTCACAGAAACACGTGGTCCTTATCAGCACTGCACATGGTTATAACTAGATTTTTAATCAGAGTTGCACTGCCCGCCTACTTTTACTGAGCCAGGCTATCTGATCGAGCATGAAAAATTAGCGAAGTTAAAATAGGGAGCGAGGGGCAAATGCACATTACGCTCAAAATCTGAACTTCAATTTGAAGTTCAGATTTTGAGCGTAATGTGCATTTGCCCCTCGCTCCCTATTTTAAACTTCGCTAATATTTCTTTATGCTTGATCAGACAGCCCGGCTCAGTAAAAGTAGGCGGCCAGTGCAACTCTGATTAAAATCTAGTTATAACGACGTGCAGTGCTGATAAGCACCACGTGTTTCTGTGATTCCTATTTTCTTCTTTCTATGTATTTCTTTCTCCTGATGAGGAGGGACCTTTAGCTGCCCTCGAAATCGATTGAGTGTTTCATTATACCTACGCTAAATATAAGGTTGTTTTTCACGGTTTTGATTGTCACATTAGCGTGTTTCTCTTCTAGTCTACGTTACTCCCTATTACAAAAATTCGTGGGAAGCCATTTTGACTGCGTACCACTTATTAGCCGAGAAATTAATTAAAAACTCCGAAAATTTAATTAGTTTTCGTACTCATTTTTCCGAGTGGCAAGAGTCTCGCGCGTTGGAAATAAAAATACATTATTTCGAAACTTGTTGTTACCGTGCCGAAGGGTCCGGGTTCGAATCCCGGAGAAGGCATGGATGTTTGTATATGTTTAATAAAAATTTGTAAAAACGTTTGTTGTTAATTTCAATATTAACCCTCACGAATGGGAGGAAACGGCGTTCGCCAAAGTCCTCATCATCTTTCTTCTTGTCTAAAAGGCAAGATTGATACTGATACTGATACTGATAGTGAAACTTGTTGCTACTGCTCGCTTTCAAATCGTAGATTGTGTTAAGCAAAAATTTGTAAGTTTTACAAAATCTATCTGTCTAGCTATCTATATATATGTGTAAGGAAGAATGTCTATTTGTGTGTTTGTTTGCTTGTTCACGCTATTGCCTTCTGATTAATTATGATAAAAGTTTTGCCATATTTAATGGCCACATTAAAATTAAATATAAGTGAAATATTGGATGAAACTTGAGTTCTTACGACCGTTTGATTAGATGAGTTGTTGCTGATATAATGAGAGATAATTAGCTTATTTTTCTATCGAAATTTTTTATGTGGGTTCAATATCGCATCAGACCGAAAAATGTATGACTATGAATCGCATTTCTTTCATCGTTATTAGAGAAGGATTACAGTGGTATCGTTCTCTCTGTTGCATTATTCTCAATCTAACTTAATTGGCATCGGGTACTTCCCCTACTATTTAATAAAATATTCTTCTTATGAGATGCAATATTTAAAGCAAAATTTCGAATTCCTATTTCAATATTTAACGAATTTCAGTTAGTAACTCTAACATCTTTGGTATTTTAATTAATAAACAATTTATCAAAAATGTTAAAAAATTCTTTTTTAGCAGCCAAACTTTTCAATTTTAACATTCACGAAACTGCTTGTAGTTATAATGATATTCAAAAATGCATCTTTCCCTTCTTTTTTTTTCCTTGCTGGCATCATGGAATGCTTTTCCGCAGATTGCTTCTCCTTCATCAACTCGAACTGATTAAACCAAATCACTCTAATGGATCATTTAATGCCTCCGTTGCACGTGCTTCGCATAGCGTTAATCGCCAAAAAAATCACCATAGTGTTGATTGAAGCATAAACTAAATGACGGCGCTCCAGAATTGGCTTCCTATCTTCACCTTTCTGAGACCATTGGCATGACATTTAGGGCGCCAAATGTTTAATTAAAGGATCGATTAAGTGTAGTTACTTAAGGAGAAGTTAGGATATTAAATTTTATGCCAGTTTTGCTGGAACGGGATTTGATCGACGTCTGACAGTTGCACAGTATTAATTAAGAAACTTACGGGTATTTTATCTTAATGAACTTGCGTAGCGAATTATAATATTTTAACGTACTTAAATGAACTTGCTACTAGTTTTCGATGTAGGAATGACCCGAAAAGGGTTTTGATGATATCAAGTTTCTTGCTGATTTTAGACAGCTGTGATGACCCTAATTTATAAGAATAGGAGAGGTTTGATTTGGTTTGGTTTATTGAGATTATGGCAAAGCACATTACAGCTATAAGCCTAAGGGAAGGGATGCTTTTGTGGAGGATTTTCTGAGGGAAACTGGCTCGTATACATGAGTTGCACATGGCGAATGTTACGAAAACGCCCACATAGGCAGCTCTGGAATAGAACCCATATCGGAACTACCAGAGCTCAGCGACTTCACCGCTCGGCCGCTAGTGGGCCTAGGCCTTTGTAAAGTTGTGATTATCTCTCTATAAAAGTATATGATCCATTTTACTTGTGAGTCCTTTGTTAAACTAATATAACTCTGCTGCCCGTTTTCCAAGGATAGGAGAGAAAAAAGTTTTTTGAATTATGTCCATTTATAGTGATTCGTTATCATAAGGGTGAAACATATGTTATTTTTTACTTTGCATAGGGTGTGATAACATATTTTTATAATGATGCAACAGTATATTCAACAGCTCAGTTCATGTAGAATATAAATAAGTATAGAGACTATTTGCACATTTTTAGACGATTTTGCTTTGCTATTAAAATATCGTCTGCTTGTAAATTACTTTTTAACTGCAACTTTATTTTCGAAAGTATAAATTCTCGTCTTCTACTGGACAGATTTAATTTCATGCAAAATGCCCTTTTAAAGAAGCGATGGAAGGAAGGCTACGTTAGTTAATTAGTTTGATTTTTCTGCATTGTTTATCATGCCTTCATCCATTCATCATTTCACTAAATTACGCCTGAAGCGGCAGAAATTGCTGAATCCTCTTGACTTTTTACTTAAGTGTAAATGTAAAAAATTGATCCCCAATTTCATTCAAATCAAATATAATCAAAAACTTTCCATGTTGCGTTTCAAGAATTCTGTTAAACTGCAAGCTAACGTTACTTCGGTCCATCATTAGGAATACACGTCAAAAGTTGTCCAAAATTGAACATGAGCTCTATACGCTTCATCTAGAACTCGCTAATTCATATTCAAATTCACTACCCTTGAACAAAAGTGTTGGTCTAGAACGGACCCTTCGAATTTAACCTTGCAGTTAAATTCGAAAAACTTCTTTTACAGTATTTCAGTTCATGTAGTTCAAAAAAAATCTGCCAATTGTAAACATTAAGCCAATAGTTAATATTTCTAATGTTAGTTTATCAGAAGAACAAGAGAGAATTCTAAAATATAATTTTAACTTCTCACAAGCCTCTCACAACCCTCGATTCCAAATATTTTGGCTCCTATCGAAAAAGCTTTCAAGTTCAGTAAAGTTTCCGATTCTCAGAAAGAAATGATTAGGCATCTTATCGCTCATAATGTGAAATTCAATAATAAACCTTTGAAACCAAATCTAACTGCGACAGAAAAACTACAATGCGCGAAATTCATTCTAACCCGGATATTATCATTTCAAAGGCCGCCAAAGGTGGCCAGATAGTCGTCATAGATAAGAACACTTACATCGATGGTGTCACTAAACTCTTAAACGAAGGACCATATAATCCGATACCTAGAGATCCTTCACCTTCGGACCTTTCAAAACTAAAAACTGCGATCAAATCTTCCCAAATCATTTCAAGCAACTTAAAACATTCGCTTATCCCATCTGTTGCGAATTGTGCCAGATTATATGCCAAAATTCATGAAAGTGGTATTCTTTTCCACCCTGTTGTATCAAATTTAGGTACTGCCTTGTATCCGTTAGCTAAATATTTAGTTTCTAGATTTTCAACTCTATTAGACAATAACATTTACAATATAAAAAAATTCAATAAAGTTTGTAAAAAAGGTTAAAACCATGTCTCCCAGAAATTTACTCATGGTTTCTTTGGATGTAAAATCATTATTCACCAATGTGCCAGTGGAAGGTGCATTAAGATATCTAGAAACCAGACTTTGCGAATTTCATTTCTCTTGCATCGAAATTGATGAGCTAGTTTCTCTCTGTTTGAAACAAACGCATTTTGTTTTCCAAAATAAATATTACAAGCAAACTGAGGGATTAGCCATGGGAAGCCCCCTCAATCCCATCCTGGCTGATATCTACATGTATTATTATGAATCAAAATTGTTTGAAACTTCAAACTTCCCGGTATGGTTCCGCTACGTAGGCGGTACTTTTATCCTGTTTGAAGGTAATAAAGATGATTTAAATAAAGTTCTTTCAAGAATGAATTCTATTGCTCCTGATATTCAGTTCACTTTGAACTTGAGACTTGCAATTCTCTTCCGTTTCTCGACATTCTGGTCACACGTAACGCATCCAATTTCAGTACTACGGTTTACCGTAAACCTTCATCGGTTTGCCTTCCACCACACTTTAAATCAGGTCATCCGATTAAACAAAAGTTAGCTTCATTTTATTCCTATGTTTTCCGTGCTCTTCAAGTTTGCTCCTCCAAACTATCCCTTGATGAAGAACTAAATTATTTAGAAGCAATAGCTATTGACAGGGACTTTTCACTCAGCATTATTAATTAAGCAGTTAAAAAATTCTCATCTCAACAATCCAAAAGGCACACTCTTGTTTTAGGAGATTATAAAAATTCTGTTGTCATTCCCTTCTTTCCATTAATTAGCTATAAATTTGCACGTACTTTGCAGAAATTTAACTTTCGGGTCGTTTATTCTCCCATCAATAAAATTCCGAGTTCCATACTCAAGGAGCCTATTCCGGATATGAATTCCTGGGGTATTTATAGGATTCCTTGCCAGTGTGGTTTGATTTACATTGGCCAAACTAGGAGAGCTGTAGCATCGCTAGGTTATTTCGAAGCAGGAGACTTGACAAATCAGAAATGCCCTCACTGGACTCGAACCTAGACTCTGGAATACACGCCGAGTGGGCTGCCGTTACACCACGAAGGCATGCAGAAAGAAGGCAGAAAATGCCTTACAAACATAATTCAATCCATTTTTCAGATCACGATTGACATCATGGTTGGGGAAAAATGGAAAAGTTTAGCTATATGAATGCGCAAACTTTGTTTTGTCGAAAATCGATGACCTCCACAATGTTTTCTCAATATCTTGTGGACAGATGGGGCTCGTTTTTCATTGCATGGAAAGTCAACACTCAAGTGTTGAATAGTGTAGAATTGTGCATCCATTATTGTGGGCCCGTTTTACTTTGAAGAGTGCTGTGGAAAAGCTGGCTGGAAGACCTTCTCAATTACTGGAAAACGCTACTCGTAACTGTTACAGGAGAGAATGATAGTGAACTTACTGGAACATAATGTCTTTGACACAGCGGTGTTCATGCAAGACGGTGCACCTCCTCATATCGCAACCGAATTGAAGAAGTTCCTAAGATGAATTTTCACCGAAAAGCGATTATTTAGCCATCACTCTAGAAATGAGTGGCCCCCTCGCTCGCCGGACATAACAGCACATTTTTTTTTTTGGTTATGTCAAGTCCAGAGAGTACTGCAATATCCCATCTTCTTTGGTGCAGTTAAAGGACGATATTCATCGCGAAATCTTTTGCACCCATGGGGATATACTGCATGCTGCAGTTAACGGTTTTGTTAACTCGTTTGCAAATTGTAAATTTAGTGATGGCACACACGTAGAATAAAAGTGATATGCTTTTAAACATTTGCCTGCATGCAAATAAATATAGTTTTCCTTGAAATGGTTGATTTGCTCTCGTACAACGCCCTCTATCGACGAACATTTAACGATTTTTTTCTTTGCCCCCCCCTCCAAATCCCCTTTCACGAGAATAACTTGTTCGGAAATCTATAACAAGATAAACGAGAATAACGTATAACTATAATACGTATAAATAAATAAATTATATAAACGAGAATAACTTGTTCAATTCTACCAATTCCTTCAATTTTTATGAATTTTTAAATTATTTATAGACGTATGGAACACCCTGTGTTTATATGTTTGTTGCGGCTGATTTAGACGAAAACGAGAGGTCCACAACTAGATGTTATAGCACTCTCACGTACAACATTTGAACGCTCTATGGCTAGAAATTCCACTTGCGTTTTTCATGCCTCGAAAGCGCAACTTAGGATATGTATTATATTTATATATAGCTTTGTTCTAACATAGGTATTTTGACAGAATATTGGACTTTTTCTGAAATAACATACCACTTTTATTCCATATTTCGATCTTGAGTCGTACGACTCAAATTATGCCTAGATATTAAATTTTCTAGTTTTTGGTGAGAAATCTATGAAGAAATTTAAGAACTTATCTTATCGAATGTTTTTCAGTTTGCGCCAAGAATAATTCACTTCACGAACTTCTTAATTTATAGCAACCTATTTTCTTTTGCCTTTTTTCTTTGCGCACGAGCGGGAAAAAAAGTCATCGTTCATACTTTCAAATAATTTTACAAAGTACGTACACCGCATTTTCGTTATTGTCGCTTATAATAAATACGCCAAACAACGAAACGTGCCAAAATGTAAAAGCATGTATATTTTAGGAAATTTCGAATAAAAAACTGTAATTTTTTGCAGGTGTGCCTAGAAATACATTTACTTTAAGATGATCGCAAAAATGTTATAGGTTATAATTAAAATTTGTTTCGAAAAATTTATAAAAATTATTTAAAAATATAAATTTTAAGAAATAAATCATAAAAAATGGACGAATTTTATTTGAAATGAATTTAAATTTCGGAATATGAAAGGAAGAATCAAGTAACTTTAATAAAAAAAGAAATATTAATAAATATATATCAAATTCAATTAACATTAAGGAGCTAAAATTTTGACAGCTCATTTTTTAAAAACTACTCGAGCGGTTTTCACAAGACTTGGCAGTTTGGCCTAATTTGAATCGTAAAATCGAAATATGGAAAAATTGGCATGCCACTTCAGAAAAGTCCGATTTTGTGCCAAAATACCTATATTAGAACAACGCTATATATAAATCTAATACATATCCTAAGTCGCGCTTTCGAGAGATGAAAAACGCAATTGGAATTTTGTCAATTGGCCCAGTAGAAAGGGAGATGTAGAACTGTCCCCCCCCTTTTTTGTGTGCGCAGTGTACATACGTACCTTTAAATGGATTCCAGACCAGTCAGAAATGGAAATTTGAATTCTGATACTCGAAATTTTTGGCGATTACAGGACGTCCTTTACCTTGGAAGTGAAAAAGACCTACATGAAAACATTCTTCCTGGCAGACAAATAATTTCCGAGATAAACTTCACAACAGTTATTCAACATTTTCTGTGTTGACATTAATCAATCCTATAACAGAATTAGCTACTTCTGGTACATTTGCTTAGCAGTTAAATAAATTTGTAAAAGATCATGAGCATTGAATTTTAAATTTAATTACAAAATTTATGTCGGTTGTAGTCAAGCAATAACAGCCTGGCGAAAATGAATAAGCGGATGGCATGGCTGGCAGCTCCGATAATGAGGAAATCACGGCTATCATTTAATGCATTTCGGCAGGTAAACTCCCATTAATTTGCTGTCACAGTTGTGAGTGACATTTACATAATATTTCGGCTTATTGCATTAATGCTTTGCTAATAGATCAGCCAAACGAACGTGAGTATATAAAATGCATTACCTACGCACGTGAATGATAGTGCATTAAGATTATGAGATTTTCTCGTACCTGCCAGTTTAATATACCACATGTCACAGAAACGTATTTGTTTCACAGAAATGACTGTCTTAAATTGTCCATCAAACTAATTTGATACGAATACCGCAGCCATCATATGGTTTAATGAACATTCAAGTCGTCTCTGGCACTTAAAGCCGCCGAATTTTAAACACACGTCCTTCACCCGAAAATGTGCGTCTGGAAGCCCGAATATTCAATTTTGGCATATTTTAAAAAATTTTATTTCCTATTTTTCGCGAATTTAAGAAATTTTAGTTAAAATCTCAGCCATATAAAAGCTTTGTATCGCTCCACGGCTAAGCGTCAGATATTTATGTGTCAAATATAATGAAAAAACTCTGCCATGTATTAGATGTGTGTTGCCACTCTGCCAAACTAAATATATTTGTTTTTTCGAATTTAATCCACATACCAAGCGATTTAAAAGAAATAGGTTGCCACTGCTAGAAATTATACTTCAAACACCAGTATGTTGCCATTCGGCAAAAACGCTAAAGTACTTTCTTTAGCGTCTTTAGCTTTAAAGAATTTGAAAGAAAAGAATTTTCTTTCAAATTCAAACTGCCTATTATTGATTAACACACTAAACGATACGAAAGCAATAAACGCAAATTTGTGTTAGTTCCTATTAAGTACTAGTTCGACGAGCGAAATTACATCGGCTGGATTTCATTCAAAACATTTTTAATTTTTTAAATTTTTAGAATAGCTATTTTAGGCAAGCGGCTAGTTAAATTTATAATATTAAGCTCTTCCAATGTACATTGGGGGGGGACAGTTCTCTATCTCCCGTTCTAGTGGGCCGATTGACGAAATTTAGCTTCCGTTTTTCATATCTCGAAAGTTTAATCTGTAGAGACATTAGCTTGTTTCGAAGCAAGAGAGATGAAAAAGGAGCAGTACCCTTTCAGGGAATTGAACCACGGATCTCTGGAATACGCGCCCAGCGTGCACACTATTACACCAAGAAGGCGGGAGAAATACCTTTTATACTCACGCTTTTAAAGGGTGAATGGGATTTTTAGGGGACCTAGTCGCCAAATCCTGGGTGTGGAGAATCATCATCCACCACTCTTTCAGTTCGGGCGCCACTGTAGAGACATTACGTAATTTTTGAAGCAGTACAAGTGAAAAATGAGCAATCCCTCCGCTGGGAATCAAACCATAGACCTCTGGAATACGCGCCCAGCGTGCAGACCACCACACTACGAAGGCATGCTAAGAAGGCGGCAGAAATACCTTATAAATCCTGCAGAAAATTCTTTCCGTAAGTAGACGATATTTCAGGAAAAAGCAAATTCAGATATTTTAATATTAAATGGTGTCAATGATCGCCTGGCAAGTTTGCTGAAATTTGCTAAAATTGTAGTCCTAAAACTTCCTTCTTCACACATAAAGCCGTCAAAATAACTTTAAAAGACGTCTGAATCATAATTTTTCGAAAAACTGAAATATCGTTTTATTAATTTAAAAATTTATTGTCATTATTTATATCTTTTATCTGAACTTAAGTAACGTTTAGGTAGTTAAATTTAATTTATCCGAAACAGAGATTCGCAAAAGCCTCCGAAGGAAAAATTATTTTTCAAGATTGTAATCCAATTCTAATGCTACCACATATATGTTACACGCTCTCTTCTGCAGCTGGTTAACATTTACTTTTCTTTTTCAGGTGGAATTTGTTGCAGATAGCGTTTCCTTGGACCTCTTATCCCTCGCCAAATCTCAAAGCAAGCTGCTGCGTTACCATGGTGATGTCCAATTCTTCTGCCAAGAAATGGAAGCGGCAGATCCCATTACTTTCACAACTCGTGAGTCCTTCCTGGTGAGTATAGATTTTAAATCTCTACAATTAAATTTCCAGACGAACTTGACAATGCGTTTCACGGCAAAGTGGTTCGAAGAGGATTCAGAAGAGGCTTACGTGTCTACTGCAAGTTTTCTGGAGCATAAAGTTACATCTTGGTTCATGTAACTTTAAAGAGAGGTAATAATTTAGGAGCGAGTAATTTGGTTTTGAAGCTCTAATATTATCCTTCGTTTGAATAAGTACTTTCAAATCTTACATATTATAATAATAGTAGTAAGGAACCAATTCTATAACAAATCGAATAATCCTTGAAAATGATCAACCGAAGTGCCTGTGTTCTGCCCAACGTTGAATTATTGTTTTCAATCAACAGTGATCTGTCTCCAACAGCCTTTTGATGTGGTAATATTGACGTTAGCACGACGAGCGTAAAGAGATAACTAAATTTGTTTTGAATGCTCAAAGATTGACATTATCTCGTCGAGCTCAAGAACAGAACTAACATTTTTTTATTTCTCAACGACCTCACTCAAACTGTTTTTGATTAATCTCATTTTCGACAGTATTAATTGTAAACATAACAGATTGTAGCTCGAATTTGCTTTTATTTATAAACGGAAACATTCATTAGCTGAGTGCGTCCACGTCACATTTTTTTTCTCTTTCCTTTTTTATATTCTTCGCTTTTCTGAATCATAATAACCAAGATGTTGAAGTCACTGTTAGCGCTAGAATTAATAACTAAAGTTATAGTACAGATTGCAAATTATATAATTACATCATAACAATAAGGTTTATGACATCTTTTTTATTGTATTATTAAAATCTTAAACTTCACACTTTAAAATATATAAATATAAGGTCTTTCCTGTTTTCCGAAATAAAAGTTTTAAAATTTAGGATTACATTTTAAATTGATTTACAAACGTTTTGTATCCTCAGCTTCAAAACAAAGCAAAATTAAATTAAACAGTTTCAAATTTTCCAGTGTTTCAAATATTGTGTTACTTTTTTTTTGTATGTTATGTTAACAGTTCATATAAACTTTGTGAATAAATATGTCAGAAGAGCTAAAAAATTAACCACTATTTTAAATAAATACATTTTGAGCCTTTTCAACAACTGTAAGCAGTAGGAATTTTTACATGTGAAAGTATCCGAAAAGAATCCGGACATCTTCATCATCCGGTTTACTTTCATCAGTTTAAATCCCAAATATGAGCACTAAAGATAATATTAAAAAATATGTATAGCAACAGACAATATGTAAGCGTGAACATTGATAAAGTAACTGCGTCCACCGGCATACACACTTTTTTCTCTCTTCGCCTTTTCTAATGTAAAATCTAACATTTAAGGACATTAATAAGAGGAATTAAAATACGCTTCTAGTGAACTATCTGCGAATATGAAATTGATAATACAATATGTAATTAAATTTACTTTTGTCGGTTTTCATGATAGTAATACATCAAGATTGAGATCAAGAAACGAAAATGTTTAAATTATTTAAGGAAATCAAAGTGCAATTTGCTAATAAGAATTCTAATAAACGTGATAAGTTAAAACAAAGTAAAATACCTGATGTGGACAGCACATGACTTCCTTATACGGCGAATTAAACTATGCACATTTTTTGCTGCATTTCACTTAAACGTATTTCCTCGAATTTCATTACAGATATTTTTTGCATTCAGTTCTCAATTTGCGGCAAGAAAAAATACATAAAAACTGAAAACACCTTCGTTAAAAATTGTAAAATGCAGAAAGACATAAAATCGCAAAGAGAGTTTCAAAAAATAAATAAATAAATAAATAAATAACAATTAAAATTAAAATTTTTAAGCAAAGCAAGCAATTCGTCCCGCAGGCAGAAAGACATATTGTTTTTTGAAAAAATTGAAACTTAACTTTGTGTCCTACTGGGCAAAAAGACGACGCTGAAGTCGCTACACCAACTGATTAATTCACTATTCTTCTAAGAGTTTCAAATCTAAACAAATGACTCATTAGGCTTAGGGATACTTTTAAATTTTTGATAATTCTGCAACTACTGCATGCAGATTAACTAAAGGCATGAAACCCTTAACCGGAACTTAAGAGCGACGTAATTCAATCAATTTTAAAGCAAAAAATGAAAATATAAAATTAAAAAAAGAGAGTTCGTGAAGCCGGGTAACAGTGTGTGTTTGTGTATACTCGGCAAAAAGACACTAAGGGTACAGAAACTGACTTAATTGACTATTCTGCTAAGTTTCAAATCCAAAAACATATGGCTGTTATATTAGGTTTAGTTACCCTTAAACAACCTTTAAATTGCTGATAATTCTACAAGTATTGCATGCAAGTTAATTAAAGGCATAAAATCCTTAACCAGAACATAAGAACAACATAATTTAATGAATTTCAAAGCAAAAGATACTCAATTTACCATCATATGAGAACAAGAAAAAAACAGAGCTCAACGAGCCGGGTAACAAAGCGGGTATATATGTATATATACATATACATTTACGTATGTTTGGTGCTGCCGAGTACAACAAAAAAAGGAGGTGCACAACTACATGTTATAAAAGTCCCATATATAAACTTTCAATGTTCTACAACTATTCGTTTTTGAGTTTTCGAGATACAAACATAGTAACGAACAGAAATCGCGAAATATTCTCTTCTGAGTCCATTTTACAATCCGTTTTTTAATAAAGAGCTCTTTCCTCTCTCCGTACCAACAGATGTCATGCAAAAACATCGTTCAAATGGACCCAAGAACGGTCACATTGGATATTTTCGTTTAAATATTGCACTCGAAGTTTTTCGCGATTACAATATTTCCTTTACTCCGGACAATGATGTAAATATAACTTATCAGATATGACAGATTTTTAAGGTCTCCGACAAGGTTTTGTTCAGGTTTTTTATGCTCTCGAAATCACCGTCTAACAGTCTGCTGTTACACTCACTCTTACTAAACCACTTTTTTGTCTTTTTAGTTTTATTATTATCATTTTCTTCGTACTTACGCAGTATACAATTCACCAGGAAAACTACAAATTTTTTTTTTATTTTTTTCTTTTTTTTCCAGTATTTTCTCAGTTTATAATAATCAATCTTCAGTTTTCTTACTAAAGTGACTTTACAACACTTTTTTGTTTTGCTTTTATTAACTTTTTGTGTTTTTACTGTTTTCATTAAATATCATGTCCTTGGCACTTACGCCGCATAAAATTCCATTCAAAGCAAACTAGGAAAATATTCATCAGTAGCAAATCTTCAGAATTGCCGAGAGACAGTTTTGCGCACTGGAGATAAAAATGTTTTATTCCGTACAGCATTGCCACTGCTCGCTTTGAAATCGTCTAGTTTGTTAATCTAAAATTCGTTGAAGTGTTACAAAATACGAAATAGACAATAAAACAAATTCAAATTAGGACTTCCACATGCCCATTTTCTATAGGAGATAACGTTATTGAAATTTTGATGGTTCTAGGTACCGTTGTTTAATCTCAATTCGGGAAACATACATACATTCATGCAGATTTTTCATTATTTAATTTCTTTAAATATAATACAGGGCGAAAATATTGGGTGGCAACAATTTGAAAAGTGAAACAACGCTTATCGGGAATTGACGCAAAATGAAATTAATAGTCCTTCTGGGCAAATTGCCGCTTTAGACTAAAAGTGATGCAAGTAATGAAACACCTTTTATATTAATTTTAGTACTATTTATATTATTTCAGTGTTATGTGCTTTTTTTCAAAAAGACACATTTTAATCCTCATTTAAAGCTACGAATTGTTACAGGAATTAAATTTCTGAACGCATTAGGTTGGGATTGAAATTGAAATAAAAGTTTCTGTATGATTTTATATACACTCACGTTTGTGAAAATTGCAACACCATGAAGGACTTATGCGAGTGAGCTGAAATTTTCAGGAAATGCAAAGTAGCGCATGATATGCAAATGATTAGAATTGCAAATCCGTAGCGCATGCGTATGCTGAGCAGCGCCCTCTGAACGGCTGATGGATCCCGAATAAATAGACGGCTGTAGCGAGGCGTGTATGGTTATCGGTGGTTATCTGCTAGTGGTAAACGTTAACTCAATCTGTACTTATGCCTCGTCGACGAAAGAGAGCGAGATTTGAACAACTTACAGAGTTTTGAACGAGGGAGAATCATCGGCCTTCGTGAAGCTGGATTGTCGTATCGTGCAGTAGCCTCTCGTGTGCAGCGTAACAGCAGCACAGTGATGCGCGTTTGGAAGCAGTGGACGGACGAGTGTCGGACAACTCGGAAATCCGGGAGTGGACCCCGAAATGTGACGTCAGCTCGCGATGATAGACACCTGGTCCGCATGGCGCGGACGGACCGTACAGCTTCCTCTAGACAATTGGCAGCACTGTGGTCAATAGCTACAGGTGTTTCATTGTGTGCTTCATCAATTCGTAGACGTCTGCTGCAGTGTGAACTGCGCGCACGGACTCCTTTTATACAGGATCCCCCCTAACGCACGACCATCGCCGCCTGCGGCTACAATGGGCCAATCAGCATAGAGACTGGCGTGCTGATTGGCAGCATGTCGTGTTTTCTGACGAATCCCGCTTTAATTTGTGGTACCATGATGGCCGCATTCGTGTCAGACGCTATGCCGGTGAACGCCACCTTCCGGAGTGCATTATCGAACGCCACAGTGGACGAACACCCGGAGTTATGGTCTGGGACGCCATAGCATATCATAGACGATCTCAATTGCTACGAATTGTGGGCAATCTGAACAGCAACCGGTATATCCGTGAAGTTCTACAGCCCGAAGCTGTTCCCTTCCTTCAAAGCTTGCCAGGCGCTGTATTTCAACAGGACAATGCCCGCCCTCATACTGCTCGGATTGTTAAATCCTTCTTTGCAGCTTCTTCAAGGTACAGCTTCCTTGGCCTGCGTGTTCCCCGGATATGTCGCCAATTGAACATGTGTGGGATGTCATTGGTCGGCGTCTTGCTCGTGATCCTCGTCCT